CATGTCCTGCGCACTGTAGAACATGTCCTACACACTGTAGAACATGTCCCACACACTGTAGAACATGTCCCACACACTGTAGAACATGTCCCACACACTGTAGAACATGTCCCACACACTGTATAACACGTCCTGCACACTGTAGAACATGTCCTGCACACTGTAGAACATGTCTTACACACTGTAGAACATGTCCTGCACACTGTGGAACACGTCCCACACACAGTAGAACATGTCCGGCACACTGTAGAACATGTCTTGCACACTGTAGAACATGTCCTGCACATTGTAGAACATGTCCCACACACTGTAGAACACGTCCTGCACACTGTACAACATGTCCTGCACACTGTAGAACATGTCCCACACACTGTAGAACATGTCCCACACACTGTAGAACATGTCCCACACACTGTAGAACATGTCCCACACACTGTAGAACATGTCCCACACACTGTAGAACATGTCCTGCACACTGTAGAACATGTCCTGCACACTGTAGAACATGTCTTACACACTGTAGAACATGTCCCACACACTGTAGAACATGTCCTGCACACTGAAGAACATGTCCTGCACACTGTAGAACATGTCCTACACACTGTATAACATGTCCCACACACTGTAGAACATGTCCTGCACACTGTAGAACATGTCCCGCACACTGTAGAACACGTCCTGCACACTGTAGAACATGTCCTGCACACTATAGAACATGTCCTGCACACTGTAGAACATGTCCTACACACTGTAGAACATGTCCTACACACTGTATAACATGTCCCACACACTGTAGAACATGTCCTGCACACTGTAGAACATGTCCCGCACACTGTAGAACACGTCCTGCACACTGTAGAACATGTCCTGCACACTATAGAACATGTCCTGCACACTGTAGAACATGTCCTACACACTGTAGAACATGTCCTACACACTGTAGAACATGTCCTACACACTGTAGAACATGTCCTGCACACTGTAGAACATGTCCTGCACACTGTAGAACATGTCCTGCACACTGTAGAACATGTCCCACCCACTGTAGAACATGTCCTGCACACTGTAGAACATGTTCTGCACACTGTAGAGCGTGTCCCACACACTGTAGAACATGTCCTGCACACTGTAGAACATGTCCTACACACTGTAGAACATGTCCTACACACTGTAGAACATGTCCCACACACTGTAGAACATGTCCTGCACACTGTGGAACATGTCCCACACACTGTAGAACATGTCCTGCGCACTGTAGAACATGTCCTGCGCACTGTAGAACATGTCCTACACACTGTAGAACATGTCCCACACACTGTAGAACATGTCCCACACACTGTTGAACATGTCTTACACACTGTAGAACATGTTCCACACACTGTAGAACATGTCCTGCACACTGTAGAACATGTCCCACACACTGTAGAACATGTCCTGCACACTGTAGAACATGTCCTGCACTCTGTAGAACATGTCCTGCACACTGTAGAACATGTCCTGCACACTGTGGAACACGTCCCACACACTGTAGAACATGTCCTGCACACTGTAGAACATGTCCTGCACACTGTAGAACATGTCCTGCACACTGTAGAACATGTCTTACACACTGTAGAACATGTCCCACACACTGTAGAACATGTCCTGCACACTGTAGAACATGTCCCACACACTTTAGAACATGTCCCACACACTGTAGAACATGTCCTGCACACTGTAGAGCGTGTCCCACACACTGTAGAACATGTCCCACACACTGTAGAACATGTCCTGCACACTGTAGAACATGTCCCACACACTGTAGAACATGTCCCACACACTGTAGAACATGTCCCACACACTGTAGAACACGTCCTGCACACTGTAGAACACGTCCCACACACTGTAGAACACGTCCTGCACACTGTAGAACATGTCCCACACACTGTAGAACATGTCCCATACACTGTAGAACACGTCCTACACACTGTAGATCACGTCCTGCACACTGTAGAACATGTCCTGCACACTGTAGAACATGTCCCACACACTGTAGAACACGTCCTGCACACTGTAGAACATGTCCCACACACTGTAGAACACGTCCTGCACACTGTAGAACATGTCCCACACACTGTAGAACACGTCCTGCACACTGTAGAACATGTCCCACACACTGTAGAACATGTCCCACACACTGTAGAACACGTCCCACACACTGTAGAACACGTCCCACACACTGTAGAACACGTCCTGCACACTGTAGAACATGTCCCACACACTGTAGAACATGTCCCACACACTGTAGAACACGTCCCACACACTGTAGAACACGTCCCACACACTGTAGAACACGTCCCACACACTGTAGAACATGTCCCACACACTGTAGAACATGTCCTGCACTCCGAGTACAACTTCCACTATTGTACTCACACCAGGGGATCCTGCCACGGATGATGCAATTCATCGCTACCAAATCCACGAGCTTGTCCATACCCTTTCAACAGAGTTTATTTCATAAACGTCCAAGACAGGTGACAGCCAGGGTCAGCCACACCAACTGCCCCGCCAGCAGTAAACACCAGTTGCATGGCGGAACACCGATATTGTCCTCTCGTCCACAAGAACATCTTCAAGATTCGACTAAGCTTGTTTCGTCAGACGCTTGTTTACGTCGATTCTCTCGTCAGAAGCCAGATTCAGCTGCCTGGCTTCTGACGAGATCACTGCTACTCACTAACTTGGCCGTGCCGACGAGATCACTGCTACTGACTAACTTGGCCGTGCCGACGAGATCACTGCTACTCACTAACTTGGCCGTGCCGACGAGATCACTGCTACTCACTAACTTGACAGTGCCGACGAGATCACTGCTACTGACTAACTTGACCGTGCCGACGAGATCACTGCTACTCACTAACTTGGCCGTGCCGACGAGATCACTGCTACTCACTAACTTGACAGTGCCGACGAGATCACTGCTACTCACTAACTTGGCCGTGCCGACGAGATCACTGCTACTCACTAACTTGACCGTGCCGACGAGATCACTGCTACTCACTAACTTGACCGTGCCGACGAGATCACTGCTACTCACTAACTTGACCGTGCCGACGAGATCACTGCTACTCACTAACTTGACCGTGCCGACGAGATCACTGCTACTCACTAACTTGACAGTGCCGACGAGATCACTGCTACTCACTAACTTGACAGTGCCGACGAGATCACTGCTACTCACTAACTTGACAGTGCCGACGAGATCACTGCTACTCACTAACTTGGCCGTGCCGACGAGATCACTGCTACTGACTAACTTGACCGTGCCGACGAGATCACTGCTACTCACTAACTTGGCCGTGCCGACGAGATCACTGCTACTCACTAACTTGGCCGTGCCGACGAGGTCACTGGTACTCACTAACTTGACAGTGCCGACGAGGTCACTGCTACTCACTAACTTGACAGTGCCGACGTTCGAAACTTCCAGTTAAATGAATCCTCAAGAGAAACTACGCCAGAAAGTGAGTCTCTTTCGTCAGTCTCGTCTCAACAACAAAAGACTATCGTCACAAAATTATCCTCAAAATTCGGGTACTGTCTTCTCCCGAGCAGTCATCGATAACTCAAGTCCATTCCATCCAGCGGTCGACCCCACAGACGCATTCATAAATTTTAATATGCTGTTCATTCAAAACGGGAATTTTCTCAAGTATAAATTAATATTATAAAATATTAGCATATTGTGCATATATAGGCATAGGTTAGGTTAGGTGTTTAGGTTCTGTTGGCGATTATTTGTATTTGTAGTACGTGGGTGAAGCATTTACAGCGTTGTGATTCGAACAAAAGTCGTCAGTGAAGCACTTGTTCCGGATATGTTCGAACGTCAGCAGTTGTGAGTCGTGTGTAAACCGTTTTTCATTCATAAACAGGGGGTTTGGCGGGTGCATGGAATCACTTTTGGATCTTTGTTTGGAGGACGGGCTGGGCGCTGACACATTGTTAAACCACCAGGGACACGATGGCTTCAGGCCACCTGCCCTCCAGGGGACAAGGTGGTCGACGTCTGGCAGTAACCAGACGGTCTAGAGCTCGGCTCAGGCGCTCTCCTGGGTTAACATTTAGCTCCTGGTGACACTGCTAAGGCAACTCATTAGGAGTTGTGGTGTTAGGTATGGTATCTTGTAGCACTGTACCACTATACTTGGTTGATGTCATTGAGTTGAAGTTTGTGTTCATACTTTTATGTTATTATGGCTTATAAATTGCGTATAAAAAGAGAGCTGTATTACAGGTGTTAAAGTAACTTTTATTTTGTTTGATAAATTTAACTATTGTTTTTAACTATGGCTTTTAACTTTATTCCTGTTCCCCTATATTCACATTATAGTTTAATGCGATTTTTTGTTTTTTACGCTATGTTCAGCAAGCCATCTGCTGGGTATAACCGCAATACCTCAACTACCTTAACACTATTTTGAGCCAATCGCCAGCAAGGGGAGACGAAGTATGATATCATCGATTGTTCCCATTTGTCATTTCAGTTTCCGTAACGTCTCAAGCCTCGTCGTATTTAATGACGTCAGAGTAGTGCCAGAACCTTATCTTGCTTGATCCAACATCTTTCACATAACAGATTATCTAATTGGACATTTCTTATGCAAAATTATGCATCCTAATTTGAGTTACATATACCCCAACAGCCCTATGTTCTGGTCACTAGGGAGTGTGTCTTAAAGCAGTGTTACAATGGACTACAGTATCAATATCATTGTTGACTAGCTTAAACGGTTTGTATCAGAGAAAATACTGCAAGATGCATCTAGTGGCTGGGAAGATTACTAGCCACGGCAGCACATGGCTAGTAAGGTCAGAGGAGGGTAGGGGTGGCAAACACCTACTCTCCATTTACCCCACTATGTGCACTCTGGTACAGTGGCAAAGTGCTCCACTTCCCCCAGCACGCCACCTGGATGAAATATTACCACCACACAAGTGTTAGGAATAATACAAACCTGCTTTTTTGAAGATGAAATCCTTGAGGGCGTACTGGTGTTTGGGCTTGGCCAGGTCGCCCTTGATGTCGAGGCAGTGCTCCCTGGCACTCCACCACTTGGTCTCTTGTGTACTCAGGTAGAAGCACTCGTCCAACACGTTGTGGTAGGGGAAGGGGCAACACACACCTGCACCAAGACTCGTTTCAAAATACAGAATTTCATTAAAAATTTAATATAGCTCTCGCGAATGAAATATTTTAAAGAATTATTTTAAAAGTTAATTTTGACCCAAATATAATAATTGGCAAATAAACGTTTTTTGGTAGAAAAAAATCTACAATTATATATAAATTCTGCCTGTGATATCTTTTAGACTTAATCAACCAATGAATAGCCTTTATTCGGAAGATAAATATTTGAAAAAAAAATCACGATATGGAAAAGAATCAGAAAATAATTCAATTACTTTTCATTTATTTTTCTACCAAAAGCGACTGTCAATTCCCCCCCCTTCCAACACACACACACACACACACACACACACACACACACACACACACACACACACACACACACACACACACGCACACGCACACGCACACACACACATACACAAGTAGTAAAGACCAGGCCTATGACGAAGCATTTTGATTTCTGTGACGCATGATCGTAGGACCATTTTTTCTCTGTCATCCTCAGAGACGCTTCATCATTGGCCCTACTAATTTTCGCTCTATGCTTCGTCATGAGCCCCTGAAATTTTCCGTCACTTGTTGTCATAGTTGATTAATTTTTACTGGACCTCGGTATCTCGAAGGCCCCTGAATTTTCCATGGAGATTAAAGAGCTCCCTTCCTTCATCCCTAAATGTAGTCACCTGAGTAACACGCACAGATACAGCTAATCCCAAAATGTTCAATGACATCGTCGGCCAACCAGTCTTCAACTTCACTCAATAAGTTCGTTTTCTGTGATGAAATATTAAATCCCATTTTCAAAGATTATATCTAGATAAAAGATTATGTATTAAACATAAAAATGAAATTGCAGGCCTTTTTTTGGGAAGCCATACATATATTTCCACCCATGTTGAACCAATCATTAACGATTGCTCTGAAATCAAATAAACTGCAGAGGGTCTATACATAAGTAAGTAATTATCAAAAGAAGGCACCCAGCCGAGAAGGCTATGTAGCACCATCAAATGTGCGGAATAATCAGAGGGCGCTAAATATTACTGAGGATGCCAATATGAAAACAGAAACCCATAAGGCGAATGATATCAACAGTATCTGATTCACCAAGAATTCAATCGAGGGAAAAGTGACCGTGGGGGAAGGTCGGAAAGCAAGACACACGCTCGTCCTGGAAGTCAGGACATTCAACCAGGATATGCACAACTGTAAGAGGGACAACACAGTTAGGACAATAAGGAGCAGGGCGGCGCTCCATTAAGTGTCCGTGAGTTAAGCGGTTATGGCTAATACGCAGCCTTGCCAGAACTGTTTCCTATCGCTGGTTACGGTGGTAGGAGGAAGGCCACAGGGACCCACTACCCTTAGGAGTACGCAGTTTGTTACCAGTAACAGAAGACCAACAACTCTGCCAACGGGCAAGGAAGGAGGAATGAATAACTGGGTAAAAGTCAGAATAAGGAATAGCTTTACGGGAGATGGGACAAGTGCGGATAGTTTCCATAGCGGCAGCGTCTGCACACTCATTTAAAGAGACTCCAATATGGCTGGGAACCCAGCAAAACTCAACTGTCTTAATTTTACTGGAGATAAGAAACAGCCAATGTTGAATCTCGACGACCACCAGATGGACTGGATTAAAGGACTCCAGAGCCATGAGGGCACTGCTAGTCAACTACAACCACAAAGAAGGACTGACAGCGAGAAAGCAGTAGACGAAGAGCATAGAGAATAGCATAAAGTTCCGCCGTGAAGATGGTAGTCTCCGGAAGCAGGCGACACATCTAGGTGTGGTCAGGAAAAACAAGAGAGTAGCCTACACCGTCTGCAGACTTAGACCCATCGGTGAAGATGGAAACGGAGCGGGAATGTGATGAAAAGTGTTCTAGGAAAAGGCGTTTCAGAACTATAGGAGGGGTAAAAGCTTTAGTGATGTGGGTCAGGGATTTGCAATATTGAAGAAAGGGGGACCTCCACTGGAGCAAGAACGAAGCAACACGAGGAGAAATATTAGTAATACTAACCGAAAGAGAATGTTGCAGGAGAGACAACGGGAAAGAAAGAGGGAGGTGGTGAAGGGGAACACGAACTATAGGAGAGGAAAAAGTCAAAGCACGACATAGGCGAGAGTGAGGGTGTTGTAAGGACCGCGCAAGACAGCAAAGACAGTAGCGATCTCGGCGGTCCTGGAGAGACAGGAAGACAGTGTCAACGTACAAACTGAGGACGGGAATCGAACAAAAAGCATCAGAGCTGAGGCACAACCCAGTATGGTGCAAAGGATCAAGACGGCGAAGAGTCGAAGGAGAAGCAGAAGAGTAAGCAGGGCAGGTCTATATATAAAAAGTAAGGAAATAGCCTATGTTATTCTTCACCTAACTATAGAATGGCTTATTTGTTCAAATACTTATAGTAGAGACTAATTTAATTGCAAGAAAATTATTGATAGTGCCCTCAGCTGAAAGATTGTTTATTTATAACTAATATTTAGCACACAGCCAAGGATGGCTTTATCGAGTAAAATAATGAATGAAACAGCCATTTATATGAAACAAAGAAGACAACACAGAGTCTGAACTGACAAGTATCTCACTCATGTAGTATAAATATCTTCCCAGTCCAAAACACAAACATCATGACCCAACGCCCTGTTGAAGTCTCTAAACAACAACCCCACAACGTATATATATTATAAAACTAACAATACTCGAAGCAACCTGTATCATCGATCAGGCTTCTCATTATATCTTCCCTTGCTGCTAATCCCTTACACACCTCACTAGCGCTCAAAACATTCCCCCCAACAGCTCCCCTAACCTTGAAAAAATACTATATTTTTAAGGATGGAATATAGTTAATAGGAATAAACTAAGATAATATAACATAAATTAGGGTAGATTAGGTATAAATTTAGATAATATGGCAACAATTAGGGTTAAATTAGAAAAATGTGATAATATATTCTTACCTTAAAAATATAGTTTAATTTCGAGGTTAGGGGTATATAAAACACCTAGTTATGGGTTAGGTTAAGGAAAATCGGGTTAAGTTAATGGTATAAATATCGTGAATCTTTATCACATTCCTCAGAATATGTTGTAAAATGAGATCAGAGCATGTATATGAGGTTAGGTTAAAGTTGGATAAGTTAAACTGATGTAGAGAAAATGCTCAACAATTCCACATTTCCATTAACCACTATGTAATAGAGGTTTACAAGAGTTACAAGATACGAGCTAGATGGTGTTGAGATTGCAAAGTCGGACTGCAAAAGGGATCTGGGAATTATGACTAGTAAGAATTTAAAACCAAAAATCAATGCCTAAATGTTCGTAATAAGGCAAATAGGACACTGGAATTTATTTATAGAAGCATTAGTAATTAGACACCCGGTGTTGTTCTTCATCTTGCTCTGGTTAGGCCCCATTTACATTATGCTGAGTTTTGGTCGCCAAAAAAGTATTATACAATGGATATAAATTAAGTAGAACGCGTCCAGCGTAGGATGACGAAGTTAATCCCGCAAATTAGAAACCCTTCATATGAAGAAAGATTGACAAAGCTTAAATTACATTAATTGGAAAGTCAGTCACAGTGAAATTGTGTGTTAGCTGAGATCCAATTGTCTCAATACTGAAAATGGATGGAAGGTGTAGTGAGTGAACTGGTGGTAGTGAGGAAGCTATGTGGAGCTCTGAGGACTGAGTTGAATTCCCTTCGGGAGGAGCTACGACAGATGCAGGAGCTAAGACATATGAAACAACGTCAAGACGAAGCAAAGGGAGAGATCAGCAGTAGAAAGTCTTTGTCTTGGAATGTCGTAGACAGGGGTCTTAAGAAGACTGACAAAGCCGTCTACAGATGTCATGAAGACTTCCAACCTATTCGCCGTGCTGGAAGACGAGTGCTGTACAGAGACTGCAGTTCGTTCGAAAGTCAAGCCAACGAAGGGAGCGCAGGTCCGTCAAGGTACTCACAAAATAAAGGAAGTACCTAAGCGAATTTTGGTTGTGGGAGATTCCCAGGTGAGGTATTTGGATAGAGCTTTTTGTGCCAGAGATAGGGGGAACAGGTTAAGGGTTTGCTATCCGGGAGCAGGAATTGGTGATATAGTAAACAACATGAATGATATTATGGCTGGAAATGGGAACAAACCCATTATTTGTATCAGTGCTGGTGGAAATGATGTAGGACGAGTTAGGAGTGAGGCACTGATACAGAGGTTTAAGACAGCCATAGAATTAGTTAGGAGCAAGGGAGGAATCCCGATCATATGTGGCATTCTTCCAAGAAAGGGAGTTGGAAATGAATGGTTGTCGAGGGCACTTGGTGTCAATTGCCGACTGGACAAATATTGTAAATTAAATGAAATATCATTCATTGATAACTGGGAACACTTTTATGGAAGGAATGACATGTATGCTCGGTATGGGGTACATTTATCGAGGCTGGGGTGGTTGTTGTGGGCAACTGGTTGGAACCAGTGGTTGGCGGGGGTTGTTTGGGTTTAAACTGTTAATAGATAGTGGTATGGGAATTGATATGGAGAAAGGAGGCAATAAAAGTATGTGTTGGTGGGGGGAAAATGCCCAAATGAACAGGGAAAGAGAAGGGCCTCAAAATAACAGTACACTTTGGGAATATTACACTAACAGTAGAAGTCTTAGAAACTAAATAAACGATTTAAATGCTCTTGTTTGCACATAAACAATATATATTATTGCATTACCGAAACATGGATGAATGTAGAAAACAGAGAACTATTAGCTGAATATCAAATAAACGGATTTAAACTATTTCACACAGATAGATATATTAGACGAGGAGGGGGAGTAGCCATATATGTTAGGGAAAATTTTAAATGTAGTCTCAAAGAGGGAATCAAAACTGAGCCACACACAGAAACTATTTGGCTAGAATTAAACGAAAAAGCTAAAAATCTTATAATAGGAGTTATATACAGGCCACCAAACTTAGACAGAATGGAAGCAAAGCATCTATGGGATGAAATATCTAGAGCATCTAGGTCAAACAGTATTTGTGTCATGGGTGACTTTAATTTTAGTGGAATAAACTGGCTTAACAGAACAGGGAATAATGAAGCAGACGATTTTCTTGAATTAATTGATGATTGCTTTCTTAAGCAACACATTAGGCAACCAATGCTGGAAAATAATATTTTAGACTCGGTGTTAACTAAAAGTGAAACACATATTAATGAAATCGAAATGGGGAGTGAGCTATGGAACAGTGATCACAAAGAAATAAGATTTAGCATAGAATAAATAGATTTGTAGGAGAAAATTCTGTTAAAGTGCCAGATTTTAGAAAAGCTGATTTTAATGGACTAAGAATTTTTTTGGGTGAAATAGATTGGAAAGTCCTGGGCATTGGGGGTTGGCCAGTCTTAGAGCGGGACGTGAACCCAGCGATGGGTGATGTAAAAAGGGATTTTGATGTGGATTCAAAATATAACTTATTTAAAAATATTCTAAGCAAAGCACAGGAACATAGTATACCATACAAATTGAATAGATCGAATAATAATGACCCGAAATGGATAACAAAAGATCTGAAGAACCTTATAGGTAGAGAGAGAGCTTGGTACAAAAGGATTAAGAATGTGGAAATCAGTTTAGAACAAGAATTCGTCCAACTGGTTAGAAAAGTTAAAAAAAGAGATAAGGAGAGCAAAAAGAAACTATAAAGTTTGCATAGCAGTGCAAGCAAAGATAAATCCTAAAGGGTTTTTACAGTTATATCAAACAAAGATTAGGATAAAGATAGGTCCATTAAAA